GGGCTGGACACACCCATGGGAGGGGCTGGACACACCCAGGGGACAGACCCTGTACTGGGACCTGCACTGGGACACCCCATGGAACAGCCCTGTGACACTGCCACCTCCCTGCTGTGACAGTGTCCAGCCCAGTGTCCCCTCCCACTGTCCCCTCCCAGCTGTCCCCATGTCCCCTCCCTGTGTCCCCTCCCCACTGTGACTGTCCTCTCCCCATGTCCCCTCCTGTGTCCCCTCCCCCCTGTCCCCGTGTCCCCTCCCCGTGTCCCCTCCCGGCTGTCACAGTGTCCCCTGTCCCCGTATCCCCTCCCTGCTGTCAGTGTCCCCTCCCCGTGTCCCCTGTCAGTGTCCCCTCCCCATGTCCCCTCCCCGGTGACAGTGTCCGTACCCATTTTTTTGGGCAGCAGGTACACGTCCTGCTTGTAGCGCCCCTCAGGAGCGTTGTAGAGCTCGATCAGCGCCAGGGCCTGCGGGGACAGCGGGGTCAGCACACCCTGATCCTGACCCTAAACCCTGATCCTGACCCTAAACCCTGATCCTGACCCTAAACCCTGATCCCGACCCATCCTAAACCTTGATCCTGACCCTAAACCCTGATCCTGACCCATCCTAAACCCTGATCCTGATCGACCCTAAACCCTGCTCCTGACCCTAAACCCTGATCCGGACCCATCATAAACCCTGATCCTGATCGACCCTAAACCCTGATCCTGACCCTAAACCCTGATCCTGACCCCAAACCCTGCTCCTGACCCCAAACCCTGCTCCTGACCCCAAACCCTGATCCTGACCCACCCTAAACCCTGATCCTGATCGACCCTAAACCCTGCTCCTGACCCTAAACCCTGATCCTGACCCATCCTAAACCCTGATCCTGATCGACTCTAAACCCTGCTCCTGACCCTAAACCCTGATCCTGACTGACCCCAAATCCTGCTCCGGGCCCACCCCAAACCCCGCTCCTGACCCCAAACCCCACTCCTGACCCACCCTACACCCTGCTCCTGACCCCAAAACCTGCTCCTTACCCAAAACCCTGCTCCAGGCCCACCCTAAACCCTGCTCCTGACTGACCCTAAACCGCGATCTTGACCCTAAACCCCTCTCCGGGGCCACCCTAAACCCCGATCCTGACCCTAAACCCCACTCTGGGCCCACCCTAAACCCCACTCCAGGCCCACCCCAAAGCCTGCTCTGGGCCCACCCTAAACCCTGATCCTGACCCCAAATCCTGCTCCTGACCCACCCTAAACCCCAATCCTAACCCCAAACCCCGCTCCTGACACACCCCAAATCCTGCTCCTTGACCCCAAACCCTGTTCCTGACCCATCCCAAACCCCTCTCCTGACCCCAAAGCCCCTGACCTGCGTGGTGGCCGTGATGGACAGGACGAAGGTGGGGACGGTGGAGCAGCTCAGGTTCAGCAGGCGGCCCTGGGGGGCAAAAACCACTTGTGGACACGGCCCCGAACCCCAAACCCCAAATCCGAAACCTGAAACCGCAAACCTCAAACCCCAAACCCAAAACCCCAAATCACATTTTCCTTTGGGAAGGGAAAATCCCCCTGGGGGAGAGACCCTGGGGCGGGATGGACGGAAAACGGGAACTATCCCCGACCCCAAAAATCCCGGGGGGACCTTGTGGGTCTGAACAACTCCGGGACAGGAGGGGACAGCCAGGGGGATTTGGGGTCTCATCCCAGGGAACGGGGACAGGGACAAGAAATGGCTCAGGCTGGGCAGGTTTAGGATGGATTTTAGGGGATATTTCTCCATTGTAAGGGCTGTCCCCATTGCAGGACGGATCCCAAATCCCTGTGGATGTGGCACTCGGGGACAGGGACAGGGAACAGCCTCAGGTTGGGCTGGGGGAGGTTTAGGATGGATTTTAGGGATATTTCTCCATGGAAAGGGTGGCAGGGGTGGAGTCCCCATTCCTTTTGGGATTTCAGTCCCTGTGGGTGTTGGACTTGGGGACAGGGAACGGCTCAGGCTGGGCTGGGGGAGGTTTAGGGTGGATTTTAGGGGATATTTTTCCATGGAAAGAGCTGTCCCCATTGCAGAAGGGATCCCAAATCCCTGTGGGTGTGGCACTCGGGGACAGGGAACGGCTCAGGCTGGGCTGGGCAGGTTTAGGATGGATTTTAGGGGATATTTCTCCATGGAAAGGGTGGCAGGGGTGGAGTCCCCATCCCTTTTGGGATTTCAATCCCTGCAGATGTGGCACTTGGGGACAGGGAACGGCTCAGGCTGGGCTGGGCAGGTTTAGGATGAATTTTAGGGGATATTTCTCCATGGAAAGGGTGGCAGTGGTGGAGTCCCCATCCCTTTTGGGATTTTACAGCCCTGTCGATGTGGCACTCAGGGACAGGGGAAGGTTTAGGATGGATTTTAGGGGATATTTCTCCATGGAAAAGGTGGCAGGGGTGGAGTCCCCATCCCTTTTGGGATTTCAATCCCTGTGAATGTGGCACTTGGGGACAGGGAACAGCTCGGGCTGGGCAGGTTTAGGGTGGATTTTAGGGGATATTTCTCCATGGAAAGAGCTGTCCCCTTTCCAGGAGGGATCCCAAAGCCCTGTGGATGTGGCACTCGGGGACAGGGACAGGGAACGGCCTCAGGTTGGGCTGGGGGAGGTTTAGGATGGGTTTTAGGGGATATTTCTCCATGGAAAAGGATGGCAGGGGTGGAGTCCTCATCCCTTTTGGGATTTCAATCCCTGCGGATGTGGCACTTGGGGACAGGGAACGATTTAGGCTGGGCTGGGCAAGTTTAGGATGGATTTTAGGGGATATTTTTCCATGGAAAGGGTGGCAGGGGTTGAAGTCCCCACCCCTTTTGGGATTTCAGTTCCTGTGGGTGTGACACTCGAGGACAAGGACAGGGAATCTCTTAGGCTGAGCAGGTTTAGGATGGATTTTAGCGAGTATTTCTCCATGGAAAGGGTGACACGGGTAGAGTCCCCATTTCAGGAGGGATCCTAAATCCCTGTGAATGTGGCACTCGAGGACAGGGACAGGGAACCTCTTAGGCTGGGCAGGTTTAGGGTCGATTTTAGGGGATATTTCTCCATGGAAAGGGTGGCAGGGACGGAGTCCCCATCCCTTTTGGGATTTCAATCCCTGTGGATGTGGCACTCGGGGACAGGGAACGATTTAGACTGGGCTGGGCAAGTTTAGGATGGATTTTAGGGGATATTTTTCCATGGAAAGGATGGCACGGGTGCAGTCCTCATTCCTTTTGGGATTTAATCCCTGTCGATGTGGCACTCGGGGACAGGGAATGACTTAGGCTGGGCTGGGCAGGTTTAGGATGGATTTTAGGGGATATTTCTCCATGGACAGGGTGGCAGGGGTGGAGCCCCCATCCCTTTTGGGATTTCAGTCCCTGTGAATGTGGCACTCGGGGACAGGGAATGGCTCAGGTTTAGGATGGATTTTAGGGGATATTTCTCCATGGAAAGAGCTGTCCCCATTGCAGGAGGGATCCCAAATCCCTGTTGATGTGACACTCAAGGACAAGGACAGGGAACAGCTCAGGCTGGGCAGGTTTAGGGTGGATTTTAGGGGATATTTCTCCATGGAAAGAGCTGTCCCCTTTCCAGGAGGGATCCCAAATCCCTGTNAACAGCTCAGGCTGGGCAGGTTTAGGGTGGATTTTAGGGGATATTTCTCCATGGAAAGAGCTGTCCCCTTTCCAGGAGGGATCCCAAATCCCTGTGGGTGTGGCACTCGGGGACAGGGACAGGGAACGGCCTCAGGCTGGGCTGGGGGAGGTTTAGAGTGGATTTTAGGGAATATTTCTCCATGGACAGGGTGGCAGGGGCGGAGTCCCCATCCCTTTTGGGATTTCAATCCCTGTGGGTGTGGCACTTGGGGACAGGGAACAGCTCGGGCTGGGCAGGTTTAGGATGGATTTTAGGGAATATTTCTCCATGGAAAAGGTGGCAGGGGTGGAGTCCCCATCCCTTTTGGGATTTCAGTCCCTGCGGATGTGGCACTTGGGGACAGGGAACAGCTCGGGCTGGGCAGGTTTAGGGTGGATTTTAGGGAATATTTCTCCATGGAAAGAGCTGTCCCCATTGCAGGAGGGATCCCAAATCCCTGTGGGTGTGGCACTTGGGGACAGGGACAGGAAACAACTTAGGCTGGGCAGGTTTAGGGTGGATTTTAGGGAATATTTCTCTGTGGACAGGATGGCAGGGGTGGAGTCCCCATCCCTTTTGGGATTTTACAGCCCTGTGGATGTGGCACTCGGGGACAGGGAATGGCCCAGGCTGGGCTGGGAAGGTTTAGGATGGATTTTAGGGTATATTTCTCCATGGACAGGGTGGCAGGATTGGAGCCCCCATTCCAGGAGGGATCCTAAATCCCTGTTGATGTGACACTCGAGGACAAGGACAGGGAACAGCTCAGGCTGGGCAGGTTTAGGGTGGATTTTAGGGGATATTTCTCCATGGAAAGGATGGCAGGGGTGCAGTCCCCATCCCTTTTGGGATTTCAATCCCTGCGGATGTGGCACTTGGGGACAGGGACAGGGACACCCCTGGCACTGCTGGGGACAGTTGGACTCGCTGATCTCAGACCTTTCCCAGCCTCAGTGGTTGGGTGATCCCAGAATTCCCAGGAAATCCCAATTCCACCCCGTGCCCTCACCTCGGCCAGCAGCACGATCCTCTTCCCGTCCGGCCAGATGACGTGATCGACCTGAGAGCGAACCCGCTCCCACGTCAGCTCCGGAGTGCGCAGACTGGCCTGGAATGGGAACGGGAATGGGAACGGGAATGGGATCGGGAATGGGAATGGGAAC